CGCCACACTCGAGTTTCGAACCCGGGACCAGTGAGCTAGAGACGACCGTCCTGTCCACTGAGCCACCGGGTCGACGTCTTGCCAGTTGTCGATCGGGATGTAGATTAGTACATAGGTGTACTCCGATCTGGTCCAGGATTCACCGACCCCGGCTTGTCCACACCCCACCAGACGAAACAAGCCAGGGTTGGTGAATCCTGGGCCAGATCGGAGTACACCTATGCACTAGTAAGGACTTTATTTTCTCCAAATTTAAAGGTTTGCGTATTTTGCCTTTGAAAGTCGGTAGTGTAGACGACAACCTAATTTTGATGTGTAGCCGCGGCGTTGGAGACGATAGGGTTGTCATTTCGTTGCCTGTTCTCCCTCCTACAGATAATCGCATGGATCCTCACAACGGCCGGCTTTACAGTGCAGAAGACGTGGATAACCCTGTTTCTAGTGAAGTTTGGGAATCAGCGAATCCTTCGCACCCTGGGCATCGCAACACAAACCGGCTCAGTGATTGGTGCCCTCATTAGTTTCCTCCTGACCGCTCAGTTCAATCTCCTAATCTCTAAGACACCTTGCTCTCAATAAAGTTGCTGTCTACCCCTTCTCCAGTCCTGTGATCTTATCGTTCTCAACCCAGTCATTTTGTATTTCTGCCTTTTTGCAGTTCCGTGCGCAAAATTGAAGTCTCTTTTTTGTATTTTTCTTCTGGCTTTTCAATGAGGGGGGGATAGGTCTTGTTCGTTGCTTACGCCTGACCTACAGAGGTGCCGCCTGCTCTTAATGTGGTACGACGTCGTTTTTGGCGGTAAGATGCCGGAGCCAGCCAATGGTCTAAGGCCACAATCAGAGATCGAAACGCCAGAGTGCAGTCGCTCGTTTGTTTTGGCAGAGGATTCAGCTGCGCCATGACGTGTATTTGAGCTTTCGTCATGTTTTCCTTTCGGTGAGCAGGGTCAGCATCACTAACCACTCGCTGGGAGTATCTTGTGCTCTCACATAGGGTATCTAATTCAGCAGTCAATTATAATTTTGTGCACAACAAGATATTTTCGAAAAAAAAGCAGGGAAGACCGGAGTAGTCGTTTCTGCCGTTATTGACTGTCATCAGCCACTCATGTCCACCTCCAGGGGTTGCAAGCCTTGAGCACTCAACTGCTACTGTTAATATACCAGCTCACAACTGACGGGCCAACAAGTCCGTACCTCAGTTGATAGACTTTTGGGTTTAATTTCTGGGCTAACAACACCCAAGGGTTTATTTAGGCTAGCTGACGACGATGACGATGATGATGTGTAATAAACCGGTGTAGAATCATACTTTGTGTCCCAGATCAACGCGAGAAAGCTCCATTCATCCAGGTGTAATAAAGAGTACCCAGCCTAGGCAATACAAAGGAAATATAGATAGAAAGTAAAAGTTTATACAAGCAGAACAAAACAGGAGTAATTATTTACAAAATCTAATGTTGGATTATATGTGCTTCGCCGATCTAGTGGAGGAACAGTTAAGTTCCGCTCTGCCCAGGAGCTCACACCGTGAGCCCGTCAGACCGTCACATAGTGAATATGATGATATGATTAAATGGATCTGACAAAGCAAAGGGAGACTGGAATGACCATTTCTGGCTTGTTAGCCGTCATCAGCCAGTCATACCAAATCTCAAGGGTTGGAATCCCCGAGATTTGAACCCGGGACATTTGGTCATTGATTTCGATACTCTCCCTTTACTTTGTCGGATCCATTTCATCATAGGCACTATGTGACGGTCTGGCGGGCTCACTTAGTGAGCTGCTGGGCAAAGTGGAATTTAATTGTTCCTCTACTAGATCGGCAAAGCACCTATATTCATCATATTCCTGCTCTCAACCGACAAAGCAAGGAGCCCGCGGTGCCATGGTCGGGGTCACCAATTGTCGCCAGTTGTGATGTCGACAAACAGAAGGTTCCACCAAATCACAAGTCAAGCAAGACGGTGTAGGAGGACAGAAGTTTTACTGCCGGAAAGCAGAGAGTACACAGGCGGAGTAATGCACGCCGAGTCTGTACGCCCAATTGTGTGTACGGTGCTGCGGAGACGGGACGGCTGGGCGGTACACTCAGCCAGGTGGACATGTGCGCATCTATTTGCTGGAACTAACTTGGGA